CACGTCTCCCCCAAAACACACTGAGCACTGGAAGGCCAGGATACAGATTTGTGTGCAAACAAGCATGACTGCTTCAAAAGATTATTCCTGGTTTGTTTTATTCGGAACAGCTCAGCTAACAGATCTGGGCTGGTCTCTGCCAGTATGATGGTCTCCTGCACATGTGCAGGAGTAACGTCATCCCCCACAGGCCAATGAAGAAGCCCGAAGACCAGCACTTGGAAAAAGATGCTGGCACTGACATAGGACCATTGGACAGGTAGGTTTTAAGCCTTTACTTACACTTTGTTTCCCAAAACAGTTATATACAAGGCATGGCGTAAATCAGGGGTACTGAATTAAAATTCACGGGGGTCCTGTCAGGAAGTTTCTTCCAGCGGAGGTTCGAGTGTCACGTTGGTGCTATGACTCAGATCCTCAGGGGGCTTACGTTTGTGAGTAGTTTTTAAACCTTTTGATGCCATTATTAACCTCCCTAGCGGTATGATTATTTCAGATTTTTGGTGTTGAAAGCGGTACCATTTTTTTGCATGGAAATATGTAGTTTTTTTATTGTAGGCCTGTAATTTAGGAATAACTCACTGAAATCTGTCCGAACAAGAGTCTAGTAAACATTCCGGATATGACAAAACTTGAAACACGAAATCATAAATTATAATTTAATAAATACTCATAAAAAATAATAATATAATAATAATAAATTTAATTCAATGATATAATCAAACCAAAAACACTGAAATTTGAAATATAGCGCCAAGTTCACATATCGCTGAGCTCAGTCGTAGAATAGTTTTCAGTGTCTGATGACGAATTTCCCCCACGAATCATTATCACTCAATTCTGCAAGTGGTTCTGATTTACTATCGCTGTTCTCTAGCCGGTCTAAAACCGCTTTTGACATAAGGGGACGCTTTTTGGACGCCATGGACTTTTCTAAGTTTCCAGGCAGAAAGAACAGACAAAATGTGAAATGCTTTGAAACAGCAATGTTTTGCTATGAAATAATCATTTTTAAAAAAATGACATTTTTTAAATTTTCAAATTTGCCGCCGGTTCTGGCGCCAGCACGTCCCGACGTCACAGGGACCGGAACACGGAAGCCGGATGCCGGCATCGGCCGAAGGAGATGGCCGGGGACGCTGCAGGGGACACATCGCGGGAGTGAAGGACAAGGTAAGCGCTGCAGGGAATCCCTGTACAAAGCTGCATGGTAAGCCCGAGTGTAGCTCGGGGTTACCGCTTTTGGTACTGAAACTTTACCCCGAGCTACACTCGGGAATACCGCCAGGGAGGTTAAATAGGGATGCACTGAAATGTTTCGACCGAAAACACCCCTTTCAGCAGTTGGCCAAAATGAAAAAAAAGCACCGATACAGGTGCCGAAAAAACCCATGGTGAGGTATCGCCACGAACGTCGGAACAAGAACAATAATTCTCACACTAGACCTCCTCTGTAACTTTACACTGCTTACCTGTAGACATTTACAAAGCATCACCCATGGAGATTTTTAACCGCTTCAATACCGGGCACTTTTACCCCCTTCCTGCCCAGGCCATTTTTCATGTTTCAGCGCTCTCACACTTTGAATGACAATTGCGCGGTCATACAACATTGTACCCATACTAAAATTTATCACGTTCTTCACACAACTAGAGCTTTCTCTTGGTGGTATTTAATCACTGCTGGGGTTTTATTTTTTTTGCTAAATTAACAAAAAAAAAGACACGTTTTTCTTTGTTTCTGTTATAAAAGTTTGCAAATAAAGAATTGTTCTTCATCAATTTAGACCAAGATGTATTCTGCTACATGTCTTTGGTGAAAATAAGCCAAATTAGTATTTATTTAGTCTGTAGGAAAGTTATAGCGTTCACAAACTATGGGATATATCTAAATATTGATCAATCCTGAAGTACTGACAGCCAATCTAATTTCTTGAGGTCCAAGAATGTCAGAACAGTACAGATATCCCCCAAATGACCACTTTTTGCAAAGTAGACAGGCCGACGTACTTCATAAGAGGCATGGCGAATTTTTTGAAGTTGTATTTTTTTTGTCATAATTTTTCGGTAAATGAAAAAAATGAAAACAATTATTTTTTCACAATTTTTTTTACATACTGTCACCAGTGCAGTACAGCGTCATCATATAACTGGCATGGCGGTGATCAGGGACACTGACTGGTGACAGTATGAAAAAAAATATATAATTTTTTTATTTTTATTACATTTTTTTCAGATTTTTCACTTTTACCAAAGTAGTACAATGTTACCATAGTAACATTGTACTACTTTGGGGAAAATGATCAATTTTTTTTTTTTTTTTTTTTTTTACACAATTTGCTTATAGCAAAGAATTATTTTCCTATAAGCAAGCATTTACCTGAATGACATCGATTCATTCAGGGATTTTTTTTTTTTTGCTTAGCTGTGATTTGGCCACGGCTAATCACATGACACAGCTGGGCTGTGATTGGCCCAGCTTGTGCATGTGATCGCTGTGACCATTCACAGCTAGACACACTAGCATACAATGGATGGCATGAATGAAGCCATCCATTGCATACAACTGTCATGTGACCTGCTCTGATTGGTCACAGCAGGTCACATGGTACCAGCGACAGGGCCGGTACTCAGATCTGTCATCGTCTGTGTCCGAGGTACACGGCCGGTGACAGATCGTGCCACTGCGCGGCTCTGCAGGCGAGCAAACTGCGCATGCCCGAAAGGAAGCCATATGGCGTCCACCAAGAAAGGTGAGTGTTTTTTTGCCGGCCGCCATTCGGCCATAGGCCGGGAACCGGTTAAGTTCCGCAGTTTCACGAGTGTGCAATTTTAAAGTGTGACATGTTGGGTATCTATTTACTCGCCGTAACATCCTCTTTCCTATTTTACAAAACAATTGGGGTATATATTGTTTTTTTTTTTTTTTTTAATCAAAGTGTATTTTTTTCTAAAAAAAATATATATTAATTTTTAAAAGCTGCGCATTTCGGTTTTCGGCCAAGTGTATTTTGAACTTTCGGCACCCAAATTTTCATTTTGGTGCATCACGAATTATTAACTCTCTACACTCAGATTGGCACCTCCTTCTGTTCGATTTCATTTCCTGCAGAGTACTGCTTCGCTCTATACGGAGCTGCCTTCGCCTGTCATACCCTACCTAGGACCTTTGGACGTTATGCCTAATATGTCACCTTTTATCTATATTGTTTCTTATTTTACTTGCTGTATAAACTCATATTAGGATCTCCATATTTGAGGTTCCCTCCAAGTGCCAATTCCTTTTGCTCTTTTGTACCGCCATTTAGTGATGCCTGCCATAAATGATGACTGTCGCAGTTATTTGTGTTCGCAATTGAACTGTCAGGCCATCAAACGCACCACGGAAACAGAGGCTAAGATGGCAGCTTCCTTGGCAGTATAGGAGTTTCCGTTTAAAGCAGTAGCAAAGTCCGCTTTTTGATTTATACCTGTAGGTGTAGGTATAGTAAATAGCTCCTAAACGTGCCCTGCACACACCCAGCACAGTTACTAGAGGGGACCAGAAAGCTTCCGATGCATAATTGCCGATATTCGATCCATCTATGGGCAAGGCTGGTCGTACTGAAGTTAATCCATCGATCAACTTTAGTACAAACAGCCTGCCAGATTTTATTGCATACGATCATTGCCAGAGGATATAGCAGCCGACAATGATCAATGTGTTCTGCTGGCAGGAAAGGCTCCTCACTGCAAGAACACATTAGCACTGAGGGAAACAGTCAGTGTTGATGGGGAATCAAGCAACTTTCTTTCCTTACATCCATGGTGGAAGGAAAGAAAATTGTATAATCTATTGCTTGCTTTAGATATTTACTGGACTTAAATAAGGTGAAGTGGAGTTCACTTTGAATAGCCCTTTATGTACAAGAAGGGGGGGGGGGGGGGGGGGGGAACACACCACACAATTATTCTTGCAGCTTTACCTTATCCTCCAAGCCAGCATTTTTCCAAATGTTCTAAACCAAGGGCCAGTTTACTGCTTAAGACTTCTGGGGGCCGGAGTATGGCCAGTGAGAGTAGAAAAATGTCCTGGTGTCAGTGGAAGCAAAAACAGTGTCCCATCATTGGTGTCAGTGGGAGGGAAGAGTGCCCAGTCATTGGTCTCAGTGGGATGGAAGAGTGCCCCGTCATTGGTGTCAGCGGGAGAAGTGCCCCGTCATTGGTCTCAGCGGGAGGAAGAATGCCCCGTCATTGGTCTCAGCGGGAGGGAAGAGTGCCCCATCATTGGTCTCAGCGGGAGGGAAGAGTGCCCCATCATTGGTGTCAGCGGGAGGGAAGAGTGCCCCATCATTGGTGTCAGCGGGAGGGAAGAGTGCCCCATCATTGGTGTCAGCGGGAGGGAAGAGTGCCCCATCATTGGTGTCAGCGGGAGGAAGTGTGCCCCATCATTGGTGTCAGCGGGAGGGAAGAGTGCCCCATCATTGGTGTCAGTTGGAGGAAGTGTGCCCCATCATTGGTGTCAGTGGGAGGAAGTGTGCCCCATCATTGGTATCAGTGGGAGGGAAGAGTGCCCCATCATTGGTGTCAGTGGGAGGGAAGAGTGCCCCATCGCCAGTATCAATGGCAGGAACTATGCCCTACTGCTGCTGCTGTCAGTGGGGGAATAATGCCTCAAGGGCCAAATAGAAGCATGCAAAGGGCAGAATCCAGCCCCCAGACCAGTTTGGAGACCCCTGCTCTAAGCAAACAGTTGCCACTCCTTTAGTAAATCAACCCCAATACCATGAAATCAGGTATGCGGTAGGCCTGCAACGTCAGAAGAATATTTTGTCTAGGTTTTTTTTTTTTAAATATGCATAATGTTCTGGAAGGATGTGTAACTGACGATTTCTGCATTCACTCTAATGTCGGGGATGCTACTTCATGTTCTCACCAAGTCAGAAGAAACCAGACAAGTAAAACATTACAAAAAAAAAAAAAAAATCTCTTTATTGGGTTTAAATATGGGTTGACATTGATTAGATTTCTATGACAAACTGTTCCACTGCAGATAGATATGCTGGTTTTAAATAGTCTTTCAGTTCATCTTTGCTAACCCAGACATATTCCCCTTTTTGCTTTGAAGTCTGTAGTCCCTGGCTCTTTAGCATTGCTTTGAAGAAAAAGACTTTGGCTCCAAACGTGTCTTCTGTCCGCATTGTCTTGGGAAACTTGTACTTATAAAAGCCACAGGGAGCATTTCCTAAGAAATTCGCCTCAGCACCATCACCTGTGCAAAATACAGGATATTCTTGACTATGCAAAGCCCATTATCAGCCTCTGTAGCATTCCAATCAGAAACAACTTACTTTAAAATATGAATAAAAGGTTGCAGCTAAAAGAAGACTAAGAACTGCCTATGAGCTGAGTTTCAAAACGAGCCCACACAGTTTAATACTGGAAGCACAAGTGGTGTTACAAATGACTGTCCACACCAATTGCTAACCAGCTTACAAAAGAATAAAAAAGTTAACCACCTCCAGTCTGGGCCAATCCTGACACTTCTCATACATTTATAAAAAAAAAAAAAAAAGTTCTAATCATTGCTGCATCTACAACCAAGATATTACTGTTCCCGTCTGAGGAGGTGTGTATGTGAAAAAAAGAAATCGAGAATTCATGAATATAAATTTATATATCAGGCACAATTTTAGATTTTTTTTCAAGTATTTACCAAAACATTTTCAAGCTATAGTTATATAATGGATATGGGCTGAAAGTGCACATTCTCAGGTATGTACATCCAAATTGGAGGAAGGGTTTAGGAATTAAAGCTCTTAAGAGCAGCCATCCCTCTTTCAATGGATCAAAAGTAATTAGACAAATATAATCATAAATAAAATGTTCATTTTTAATATTTTGTTGAGAATCCCTTTACTGGCAATGACTGCCTGAAGTCTGGAACCCATAGATATTACCAAAGACTGGGTTTCCTCCTTTCTGATGCTGTGCCAGGCTCTAACTGCAGCTGTCTTCAGTTGTTCTTTGTTTGTGGCTCTTTCTGCTTTTAGTTTTGCCTTCAGCAAGTGAAATGCGTGCTCATTGGGTTGAGATCAGGTGATTCACTCGGTTATCACAGAATATTCCACTTCTTTTCCTTCAAAAGCTCCTGGTTGCTTTTGCAGTGTGTTTTGGATCATTGTCCATCTGTACTGTGAAGCGCCATCCAATCAACTTTGGTGCATTTGGCTGAATCTGGGCTGACAGTATATCTGTAAACACTGCAGAATTAATCCGTCTGCTTCTGTCACATCAATAAACACCAATGACCCAGTGCCACTGGAAGCCATGCATGCCCATGCCATCACACTGCCTCCACCATGTTTTACAGATGACGTTGTGTGCTTTGATAATGAGCTGTTCCAAGCCTTCTCCACACTTTTTTCTTCCCATAATTCTGGTACAGATTAATTTCAGTTTCATCCTTCCAAAGAATGCTTTTCCAGAACTGGTCTGGCTTTTTTTTTTTTTTTTTTTTTTAGATATTTTTTTGGCAACGTCTAATCTGGCTTTTTTATTCTTCAGGCTTATGAATGGTTTGCACCTTGTGGTGAACCCTCTGTATTTGCTCTTGTAAAGTCTTCTCTTGATTGTAGACTTTGACAATGATACGCCCACCTCCTAGAGAGTATCCTTCACTTGTCTGGATGTTGTGAATGGGTTTTTCTTTACCATAGAGAGGATTCTGTGATCATCCTCCACTGTTGTTTTCCCATGGATGTCCATGCCTTTTTAGGTTGCTGAGCTCACCAGTGCATTCTTTTTTCCTCTGAATGTACCAACCTGTTCATTTAGCACTCCTAATGTTGCTGCTATCTCTGATAGATTTGATTAGTTTTTTCAAGCCTTCCAATGGCCTGTTTCACAGCAATAGATTCCAAATATCACACTTAGAATCAACTCCAGACCTTTTATCTCCTTAATTAAAGAAATAATGAAGGAGTAGCCCACACCCAGCCATGAAACCACTTTTAAAATCAATTGTCCAATGACTTTTGGTCCCTTGAAAAAAGGGGGGATGGCTGCTCTTAAGAGTTATAATTCCTAACCCCTTCCTCCAATTTGGATGTACATACTCTCAAATTAAACCTTTGAGTGTGCACTTTCAGCCCATGTCCAAATATATATATGGAACTAACTGTACCCAGACAGGAAGCAATTAAAACTCCCAGGAGATACTGTGCATATAGCACTTGTGTCCATCTAAATCTGCGAAGGAGTTTCTGAGCTGTGTAGTCAGATAGCTAGCCCCACCCACCTCCCTAGCTATCCAACAACACTGATCAACGAAGACAGGTTTCTGAGTGACATTTCAAGACGGAGAGAGGGCATGAAAAGCAATGCATACAGAGGATGCACAGCCTCTGCACCCCTCCCAAACACATTGTGCAGTCTCTTCATCTGTCATCTTTAGTTTCCAAGGCTGCAGACTGCTATTCAGGACACAGAGTGTAAACTGTCAGCTTGTGTTGTGAATGATTGCAACTAGAAAAAAAAAGCTCTTTTACAAAAACACAAGCTTGTCCAAGCAGCCTCAGCTTGTGCTATGGTCAGCTTGTGTTTTGGTGAATGAAAGCCCTTTTCTTGAGCTGTACTCATTAAACACAAGCTGACTGGACCTGTAGCCTGCTATTCTGGGGGAACCGAAAAAAAAGGAAACAGACTGTTTCTTCTGGTAATCATTCTTATTTAACATCTTTTATATTACTCTTTGGGATGTCCATGTGCTTCAAGATAAAAAAAAAAATCTGTTTTTTTATTGTGCGTTTTTTTTTTTCCCCCCACTTGCATTATTACCACCCTTAAACCTAACAGATTGAACACAAGCTGACAGAAGTAACACAACAGCCTAATCATTGTGAGGTAAGGGGTTATACAACCCAAATAAAATTTTACAACAGCATCTAGGAAAAATGTCAGTGTTTAACAGCGCCACTTTAAAAAGGCACCCATCTTATAACATATTAAGTGGAATGGACTAGTCTCACAGCTAGTCAAATTTTGTGTTTTGTGTGCTGCCATTGTGTATCTCTTTGGGAAATGTTAGTCTTCTGGCCTTCAAATTCTAAATGAGTAGTTTTTCTTAAATAACAAACATATCATGCTTACCTGTTCTGTGCAGTGGTTTTGCACAGAGCATCCCTGATCCTCCTCTTCTCAGATCTCCCAGCAGCACGCCTGGCTCCTCCCCTCTGTGAGCGCCCCCATAGCAAGCTGCTTGCTCTGGGGGCACTTGTGGGTGTTCACTTGTTCACAGACAGATCGTGGCTCGGTCCAACCCCCACTGGCTGTGATTGACAGCATCGGGAGCCAATGGATCAACCTGCTGCCTGTCCAGTGAGAGTGCTAAGAGAGAAGCTGCTTTGAAGCTGTTTTGTGTACATTGCTGGATCAAGATGTGGCTATCCAATGTGGATTGGATAGAGTGCAGGGATTAGAAAGCTTATCAGTTTGCTGTGGAGATCCCCCCTCTCTCTTTGTCCGGTTTATCATTATTGAAAATAAAAGAAAAACTCCCATTTTGGGTTATCCCCAGAAAAGTAATAGAGGGGAAATTTTCCAATGGGGACACTAGTTCTGGTGACCTAGGAGTCCCCAAAGCATTCCTCTTAATTTGCAGGAATTTCCTCTCACTTCCTGTTTGGCTATAGGACAAGTGAAGGAAAATCTCCACCATGGGACACAGACGGTGGAGGAAAAAAAAAAAAAAAAAAAAAATCTAACAGGTGACAACCCTCCTTACTCTATCCAAAATGAAGAAAAAAAAAAAAAAATACCTTTCATTTTCTGTTCAACATTGACTAAAAAGTGATGGGAAAATATCCTATATAAAAAGACAAAAGACAACAATAAAAAGGTGCCAGAGGATCCAACTAACCCCCCCTTTTTTTTTCTTTAAATCTAAAGTCTTTCGCTGGTTTCTGAGCCAAATTTGTTTATATCACCATATAGTCTCATCAGTAATGAGACGAAATTGCACACATGGTCCACTTTAACTGCCTAAATATAATTACACAATAATTATAATCAACAGTTTTCTTTTTCTATAAAAGACTTAATCATGTATGAGATTGTTGGCTACTTCGTTTTTTTTTCTTTTTATCTCTCTCTCAAAAGAGTAGGAAAGATGTGGAGGAGAAACAGAGGGAGAGAATTAGTCCAAAGTTCAGTTCAGGGATAAAAGTTGACAAGTTGGCCAACTACCTTGACCTCTTTAATATGTAAAAACTCAGGTTTTCAGCTCAGGAGCTTTATGCAATACTCAGGGAAAATTGATTTATTTACTTTCACAAATAAAAAGTTTCACTTTGCTGTAGTGGTAGAGAAAAACACAGCCACATTTAGAACCACATTACCTGCCAATGTGGACAGAGCTCGCTCTGCCGTCTGTCTCATAGTCTCCCCAGCCTTACCTGCCAATGTGGACAGAGCTCGCTCTGCCCGTCTGTCTCTTCATTTCCAGTCTTTCCCCAGCCTGCCAGGCCATCTGAGGGAACATCCAAATATCTTCATTTTTCCAAGTCTTTCCTTAACCAGCAGAACCAGCGTGTTTTCTAGCTTCCTGTTTAATGATGACCGGTCATTCTTCTTATCGGCTTCTGCAAAACATATAAGGCTTGGCAATTAGAGAGAAGTCTGATTGCAATCCCATTGTATTCAACCAATACTGAAGTACTAAATCTACTATGCTGGTAATGAAGCTGCTAGACCAGCCTCTCTCAACCACGTTCTGTGGAACTCTACGGCTCCTCCAGAGGTTCCCTAAACAATTTTTGCATCTCAGATAACCAAACTACTGAACTTTTTACTTATCTGTAAGGGGAGGATTCTAACCACAAATGTAAAAAAAAAAAAAAAAAAAAAAAAAAAAAAAAGAATTTTTCCTACAGACCATCCAACTAAATGTACTCTGTGCGAGTTATAGAACATGGGTGTTCGACCTGTGGCCCTCCAGGTGTTGCAGAACTACAAGTCTCATTAAGCATTGCAAGGCTGACAGTTACAAGCATAACTTCCAAAGGCATGATGGGACTTGTAGTTCCACAGTGCCTGGAGGGCCAGAGTGAGCACCCATGTTGATTAATATGGTCATTATCAGCAGGGTTCCCTGAGAACAGCAAGTTATTTCAAAGGCTTCTCTGATTAAACCTGTTGCCACCCACATAACACGTGTGACTGCAAAAGGGTGGGCTTTAACTTCTTGCCGACCAGCCACTGTAGAAATACGGTGGCAGGTTGGCAGGGCTGGACAAAACCATGTTTTGAACCGTGCGTTTGCAAAACAGGTAGGAGGCGCATGCCCGCCCTGCCGATTGCGGGTGTCAGTCGCCGGGTCACGGTCGGTCATTACCTACCGTGTCCCGGCGATTATCAGCACTCACTGACAGACTACGGCTGCAGTGTTTACACTACACCTCTGCTATCTCTCCAGATCAGTGTGTTCCTGAGCAGTACACACCCCCACCCCCTAGTAAAACACTCCCCTCACACAGTTAACCCTTTCAGTAAATAAAAAAGTTAATCCCTTCCTCCCCAGTGCCATTAGTACAGTGTCAGTGTTTTTTTTTTTTTTTTTTTGCATTGATCATTGTATTGGTGTCACTGGGGATGTCAGTGACCCCAAGTCAGTTCCCCCCCAGTGTCAGAATGTCTGCCGCAGTCCTGCCATAAGTCGCTGATCGCCGCCATTATTAGTATATAAAAGAAAAAAAAAAAAAAAATATATATATATATATATATATATATATATATATATATATATATATATATATATATATATATATATATATATATAAAAATCCCAGCATCTTTCCCGCCATTTGTAAATGCTATAACTTTCATGTAAACCAATTAATTTACACATATTTGGGGGTTTTTTTGTAGCAAAGACATGTCTCAGAATACATTTTGGCAGAAATTTATGACTAAACTTGATTTTAACTTTTTTTTACTGGACAGGTTTTATAGCAAAAAGTCCAAAATATTGTTTTTCTTCATCAAAATTGTCAGCCTTTTTTTTTTTATAGCGCAAAAAAAAAAAAAAAAAAATGCACAGGCAATCAAATACCACCGAAAGAAAGCTCAATTTGTGGGGGAAAAAAAAAAAAAAAAAAAAAAAAAAGGATGTAAATTTTATTTATGTACCGTATTGCATGACCGCGCAATTGTCCGTTAAACTAGCGCAGCGCTGTATAGCAAAAAAATGGCGTAAACTGCAGTATCTATACCATAGTTTGTAGACGCTATAACTTTCACACAAAGCAAGCAATATACACTTATTGGGATTTTTTTTTTTTTTTACCAAAAACATGGAGCAGAATACATTTTGGCCTAAATTTATGACTGAGTTTATTATATATTTTTTGTAGCTGAAAATAAAATATTGTTTTTCTTCAAAATGTTTGATCTTTTTGTGTTTATAGCGTGAAAAATAAAAAGCGCACAGGTGATCAAATACCACCGAAAGAAAGCTCTATTTGTGTGAAAAAAAAAAAAAAAAAAAAAAAAAGACGTAAATGTCATTTGGGTGCAGCATTGCATGACCGCGCAATTATCAGTTGAATTAGTGCAGCGCCGAGTAGCAAAAAGAGGCCTGGTCATTAAGGGGGGTAAATCCTCAGGAGGGCAAGTGGTTAACTTTGTCCTTGCCAGTGCCATTTTTTGCACATTAAAAAAAAAAAATCAATTTAGGCCTGAAGACTGCATAAACCCCCAACACGGTATATATTTTCTGAAAGCAGACAACCTAGAAAATAAAAAACAGCAGCAGCTGCCATTTTTTATGTCACACAATATCACCACAAAAGCCAAGGAAACACAAAATTCTGTAAAAAATACACTGAAGTTCATTTTAGGACATACAAACACATTACACAATTTTTTGGTAAGATATAAAGATGATGTTGTATAAAGTAAATAGATACCGAACATGTCAAACCTTAAATTTGTGTGTGGCTGTGAAATTTTTTATTATTAGCTGAGGTGATTGTAGCCGTATTAGTGCATTTGCGACAAACAATTGAGTACTGTCCGGATCATACAGCTGCACCTCCAGTAATGTTCTGTACCTTATCCAGTGCAGAAAATGCAGCAAAGGATCTTATGTTGGCGAAACAGGACAGAAGTTGCAAACAAGGATGAATTTGCACAGACATACCATCAAGGAACATAAAGAAGATGACTTCTGCACACCTGTGGGACACCATTTCGCACAACCGGACCACACAATGGGAGACCTCAATGTTTTAGTTCTGAAAGGAAAATTCAAATCCATCCAGAAAAGAAAAACATTTGAACTAAGAATGATAATTCTATTTGACACAAAAGATAAGGGCCTTAACTTAGACATGGGATTCCTCAATCATTATCCAACAGTTTTATGACTATTAGCTGAAGCTTGACCCCCTCTGCGTGAGTGTAGTATCCCCTCCCCCCCTCGCTTTTGATGCATCTTATCTGTAGTTTTTTTTTTTTTTTCCTTTTCCAATCCCTTCTAACATTCTACTTTGTGATTTGTAATTGTACTGCTTAGACCTCGAAGAAGGGGACATACCCCCGAAAGCTTGTCCTCAAAATTGTATGTTAGTGTATATAAAAAAAAGTATCACGGACAGTACTCAGTTATTATTAGTTATTACAGATACTTATATAGTACCGTCAATTTGCGCATCGCTTTGCGTATATATTGTACATTGACATCATTCCCTAACCCTCAAGGGGCGTACAATCTAAGGTCCCTAACTCACATTCAAATATACACATACTAGGGCCAATTTAGACAGGAGGTAATTAACCTACCAGCATATCTGGAGTGTGGGAGAAAACCGAAGTACCCGGAGGAAACCCACGCAGGCACAGGAAGAACATGCAAACTCCAGGCAGGAGGTGCCGTGGCTGGGATTCGAACCAACGACCCTAGTACTGCCAGGCGAAATGGCGACAAACTTCAGTACCCTACATTTTCTATAGGAGACACTTTAAAAAGCCCCTTATAGATCATCAGTTTATCATTACAGAGGAGGTCTGGTGCTAGAAATTTTTCTCCAACTCCGGCGTGCGCAGCAATATGCAACATGTATCGTAATCTACATTTTTTTTATATGCAGGTGCCCCCGAAACATGCATTTACATTTGTATATGTGCGGGGCCTCAACATTTTTGGGGGGAGATTGTTAAATGTTAAAGTTGCACCCAAGCACACAATGTAATTTTTTTTTTTTCCCCATCACACAGGGGGACAAAAAGTCTATGTACTTTCGTGGTGATAGGTTCTCTTTAAATGAGACATCCAGGTATTAAAAGACCCTGGATGTCTACCCTGCGCAGTACAGATTGCACTGCATTACCTTGGGAACCCAGAAGTGGTGTTTCACATGTTGATTACGGGTCAGCAACAAGAAGGGGAGGAGAGCGGACGTGTGTCTGCTCTGCTCCCTGCCCTCTACCCGGTGGCACCAACTATGCTGGACCTAGGCCTGCAAAAGGGCAAGCGGAGCCCGGAATACATGTGCGTGGTGAACGCCGTTACCAGGACAGGAAGGGTGCATGCAATCTGCTTCCATCTGACAGACAGAAGTCTGCTTGTCAGATGCACACACAATCTCCAGCCACCGGAAGGGTGCGTGCGTGTAAACCCCCCGCTGTCAGGTCCACATGATGTATGGACCTGGCAGCGAAAGGGTTAAAGAATAAGTTCATGAAGAATATATTGGAGCATCTCCCAGCCCTCCCTTCCCCGTGACGAGGGTTCCTCTCCCTTGCAGCCACATTTAAAATGGGCACAGCTGTGTGGCGCTTTATCCGCACAACCACATCATTCATTCACAGGCATCTGTGAATGAACTACAAGTCCCATATATTACAACGACAGACAAGTACTCATGGAACAACGAGGGCACCGATCAGCACACTCCTAGCCCACTAACACTTCCTCCAGCTTTCTAACTAAAAGCCTGTAGAAAGCTTTCAGATGTGCATTTAAATTTTTTTTTTTTTTTTAACTTAAAAAAAGGTGAATATAGCCTTTAACCAATTCAATACCGGGCAATTTTTTCACCTTCCTGCCCAGGCCTGTTTTCAGGTTTCAGCGCTCTCACACTTTGAATGACAATTGCGCAGTCATACAACATTGTACACAAACTAAAATTTTATAATTTTCTTCACACAACTAGAGCTTTCTTTTGGTGGTATGTAATCACCGCTGGAGTTTTTATTTTTTGCTAAATTAACAAAAAAAAACAAAAATTTTGAAAAAAAAAAAAATATGTTTCTTTGTTTCTGTTATAAAAGTTTGCAAATAAATAATTGTTCTTCATAAATTTAGGCCGAGATGTATTCTGCTACATGTCTTTGGTGAAAATAACCCAAATTAGGATGTATTTTTTAGTTTGTAGGAAAGTTATAGAGTTCACAAACTATGGTATAGATCTGAATATTGATCAATCCTGAAGTACTGACAGCCAATCTAATTTCTTGAGGTCCAAGAATGTCAGAACAGTACAGATATCCCCCAAATGACCCCTTTTTGCAAAGTAGACAGTCTGACGTACTTCATAAGAAGCATGTCGAGTTTTTTGAAGTTGTATTATGTTTGTCATAATTTTTCATTCAGGGTTTTTTTTTTTTTTTTTTTCTTTTGTGCTTAGCTGTGATTTGGCCACAGCTAATCACATGACATGTGCATGTGATTAGTAGCTGTGACCCATTCACAGCTAGACACTAGTATACAATGGATGACATGAATGAAGCCATTCATTGTATACAACTGTCATGTGACCTGCTGTGATTGGTCACAGCAGGTCACATGGTACCGGCAAGGGGGCAGATACTGAGATCTGTCAAAGGCCGTGTCCGAGGTACACGGCCGGTGACAGGCTGCGCTGCTCTGCAGGAGCGAAATCTGCGCATGTGCGGGAGGACGCCATATGGCATCCACCCGGAACGCTAATGACATTTGCCGCCCGCCATTCAGCCATAGGGCGGGCGGCAAATGGTTAAACACCCACACGCAACAAACGTGTCACTGTGTGGCCAATGTTTCTGTGCTGAGAGTGCATTCATTGCACAGTCCCAGCACAGAGACCAAACTGATCCAGTTTCTTCTCCTATGGGTTACAGGTGTGGACTAAAGCCTGCTGTTGGCTGACATCACTGAGGCAGTCCAGGCTCTGCAGGGATCCTGACAATATCAGCATCCACTCAGATGCCTGACCAGCAGCTGGCTCAGCCTCTCAGTGCACAGGAGAGAGCCTGAGCCAGCCTCTCCTGTCCCCTTCACAGCTCAGCACTCCAGTGAGCGCTGGAGAGATAGAGCAGAGAGCCGGTGACTGACAGTCACCACGCTGCACTCGGAGTGGACACAAACACTCAGAAATCAGCAGTCTGATTGCGCACTTCTCATTGTAAAGCCAGCAGGCAACAGATGCAGCTTGGATCAATGCTGCACCTCCCTAGGTGAGTATAAATATTTGTTGTTTTTGAAAACCACACTTTTATTTGGTTTTAGTAAGAGTTTCACAACACCTGAAGATTGTAAACGTTCCTCTGGGTTAAACAGTTTGAGAAGAGCTGCTACATACTATGTAGGGTATTTCTATTTGATACCTGTTATTCCTGGAGCAGGCTTAAACGCCTTCCACTTCTGCTCCCACATGTCTTCCAGATCTTGCGCCATCATAATACCCTTGCCATCAGAGTCAAAATCAGCATCATAGTCATCAGAAAGTTTAGCCTGCAGGCGAACTGCATCTTCGATAAGCTGAATCTCATGATCAGAGAACAAACTTTTCTCCAACTCAATCTGGAAATAAAATTAAAAAAAAAAAATACAGAACAATTACTCATAATAGAACAGTGAATGGTAAGGCAGGCCTTAGATGATTATTTTTTTTCTTGCAACAAGGAGGGAGCCGTCCCTGCCTCGAGAACACAGGGATTACTAGAGGCCACAATCACTGGCAATACTTGCAGGACAAATCTGCTGGTTGCACCCAAACAATAGATGCATCGACTTGGGTACAATCAGCTTTCCCATACATGGTTATAATTTTTGCTGGTCCCTGCAGAACTGGCCAAAACTCAAACCATCTATGGCCTGCTTTAGTGGCATTTCAAGAGACAAAAAAAAAAAAAACAAAAAAAAAACAAAAAAAAAAAACAAAAAACACAGCTACCGAATTGCTCTTAAAAAAGGACAATTTTTTTTTTTTTATAAAAAAGGAGGATCTTTACCTGTAATAATATGCTTTGCTTCTTTAACCACTTAACCACTTCCTGTCCGGACACTTTTACCCCCTTCCTGTCCAGGGCAATTTTCAGCTTTCAGCGTTTATCACATTTTGAATGACAATTGCACGTTCATGCAACACTGTACCCATATGAATTTTTTACCATTTTTTTGAGACAGATAAAGCTTTATTTTGGTGGTATTTATTCACCGGTGGGATTTTTATTTTATTTACTATGTAAATGAAAAAGTCCAAAAATTTTGAAAAAAAGTGTTTTTTTTATAAAATTTTGCAAATAAATAAATATTTCATCATAAATCTTGACCAAAATTTATTCCGTTATCTTTTTAGTCAAAAAAAAAAATCCAAATTAGTTTATAACCAAAAATTATAATTTTTAAACATTTTTTATATTATTTTTTTTACATACTGTCACCATGGTGACACTGTACTACTTGTGGGGGGGGTGATTTTTTTTTTTTTTTTTTTTTTTTTTTTTTTTTTTTTACACGGATTGCTTTTACACCCATAAAGGATGTAAAAGCAATTTCATTTCTCTTTCTCTCTGTCTGCATTCTTGCAGTCATTGAGAAACACTGAGTGAGCTGTGATTGGTCACAGCTTGTCACATGGTACAAGGCTGTTGTGAATAGCCTTGTACCATGTGAACTCTGATCATTCACAGATTTCACACGTAGTAAAGCAATGATGTCACAAGTGACATCTTGCTTACTACTTTGCATGTGATCACCGATTCGCCAATCAGTGATCACATGATCGGGACCTCGTACAGAGGTCCCGTCCGACGATCGGTGTTTAACTGTGTCCGGAGGACACAGTGGGCACCGGATCGCGGTGGTGCGCGCTCCCAGGGAGCGCGCACAGCTAGGAAAGGCGGGTGCCATTTATGAACGGCAGCCCGCCCCTGGACTGCCACCACCCTGCCGTTTATAAACAGCAGGCGGACGGCAAGAGGTTAAAGTGGTTGTAAAGGCTGAGGGTTTTTTACCTGCAAGAAGGTAAAAAAACCTGTGTGCAGCAGCCCCCTCAATATTTACCTGAGCCTCATAGTGATGCATCGATGTGAATGACAGCCTCGGCTTTCCCAGGTCTCTGCCTCCTCATTGGCTGAGACAGCAAGCGGGATCCATTGGCTCCTGCTGCTGTCAATCACAGCCAGTGAGGAGTGAGGTGGGGCGGGGGAAAACCTCAGCTCCGTGTGTGAATAGACACACGGAGTAGCAGGTGGCCCCATAGCAAGCTGCTTGTTGTGGGGGCACCCGACAGACAGGAGGGGTCTGCGGGGGACCTGAGAAGAGGAGACTCCAGGCTGCTCTGTGCAAAACCAGTGTGCAGCAGACAGCAGCTAAGTATAGACATGTTTGTTATTTATAAAGAACCACAAAAAAAAACAAATGGGACTTTACTGGTACATTGCCGGGAACGCTGCAGGGGGAACATCACAGGAGCGCAGGACAAGGTAAGTGCAGAAGAGATCCCGGAGCAACGCTGCAAGGTATTCCCGAGTGTAGCTCGGGGTTACCGCTTGCGGTGCTGAAACTTTACCACGAGCTACACTCGGGAATACCTCCAGGGAGATTAAACATGTTCAGTAAAAAATTGGGATAAATCAAATTTCGTCATAAAGTTTAGGACAAAAATGTATTTTGCTACATGTCTTTGCTAAAAAAAAAAAAAAAAAATAATCCCAAGACATGTAAATTAATTGGTTTCCCTGAAAGTTATAGCATCTACAAATGGCGGTATAGATAATGGAATTTTTTTTTCCCCACTAGTAATGGCAGCGATCCGATCAGCGACTTATAGCGGGACTGCGGTGGGCATTCCGACAAAGGGGGGAACTGACTTGGCATCACTAACATCTCCAGTGACATTAATACAGTAATCAGTGCAAATAAAAAGCGCTGACACTGTACTAATGGCACTGGGCAGGAAGGGGTTAACATCTGGGGTGATCAAAGGGTTAACTGTGTGCTGTGTCACTAAGTGGGCTGTGTGTGTGCTTCACTATAAAGCACACTGCTTTGTATGGCCATACAAAGCAGTGTGCTGGCGCTGACAGGGGAGAAATGTGTTTATATATACAGGTCTCTCCCCCATGGGAGCTACTCGGCGATCACTGGGTGCCGCTGATCAATCACTGGCCAGGACCCGATGATTGACAGCCGAGGCTGCGAATGGCGGCATGGGTAGGGCGCTACCCAGAATTGCAAAATCACACATACATTATACACATACGTACATACACATACACACGTGATTTTGCGCACCAGTGCTGCCCTGTAGCAGTTATTCTGTTATAGGGCGACGCAGAACTGGTAAAATGGTAAAAAAAAAAAAAAAAAAAAAAAAAAACAAGGATACACTTGCGGTAACACCTTTTCCAGGAGTCCTTCAGGACAGCACCTGAGAGACCTTGGCTCCTCCCCACCTGAGGAAACACCTCCACCCAGAATAAAAGTCCGGCCTCCCCCACTCTGATCTCAGTTCATGATTCAGCATCTCCGGTCACCTGGGGAGACACACAAAAAAAAAAAAAAAAAAAAAAAAAAAAAAGATGAACCTTACCGTATAGTCAACTGCTAAAAAGGGTGGGTAACTGGCACTGTCCTGAAAGACTCCTGGAAAAAAGGAGTTATCGGAAGTATAACTTTGCTTTTTCCCCTCCTTGTCTTTTAGGACAGCACCTGAGAGGATACACGAGCACTCGCCCCTAGAGCAGGACCACTGCTTGTAGAACCTTGCGTCCGAAGGCCTGCTCCTCTACCGAGACCAGGTCAAGTCTGTAATGCTTAAAGAAGGAGTTTTAATTGGACCAGGTAGTAGCCCTACAAATCTGTCCTGGGGTTGCATATATTTACATATTTTAAAATATTTACAACACACTTTTCGTCAGGCAATGAAGGCTATTGATGAAACAGGAACAACCTTGCGCCAATTTTGGAAGGACTATAGCATCTACAAAGCCAAAAAAAAAAAATCAACTTTGCTTGGTGTGAGGTTTCAGCTGTCACCATGAATGGTGTTTGGAAGAACCTTTACCCGCAGTTTGTTCATGAAGTTCATGGACTTGAGACGATGGGTAAGGAGTCCAAAGAGGTCTTCAACAACTTACTGACCCTTAGCACGAAGCTGGAGCTAGATCTGCAAGAGGATGACTTCATTGAACTCCTTGCTGTGCAACATGAGGAGCTTACTAATGAGGACCTGATGGAATTAGAGGTCCAGCGAAAAGACGAAGAGAGCCAAGAGGAAGATGTAACTGAAGAACCAACGAGATTCACAACACAGGAAATGGCGAGGGGATTTTCTTTACTTGAAGAGGCACTGTTAGTTTATGAGGCACAGGACCCCCAACGTAGAACGATACACAAAGGTTGCAGCAGCCATTCAAAATGCCATCCAGTGCTACAGAGTCATCTATGAGGAGAAAAAAAAAAAAAAAAAAGAGCTACTACTCATCACTGGATCATTTTTTTCCAGAAGGTAGACAGAATAGAATCCATCAAAAAACCTGGGTCATCAACATCAGGTGTGAGTGAAATTCTATCTTGCCCTCCATCTCCTATTGCTGATGATCCTTTAGCTCCACCATCTCCCACCTACCCCCCCTCCTTCATTTAGTAACTCTCTTCCACTACGTACCAGTTGTGGTACTGTACCACCATTTTTATGAAACTGGAAAAGTAAAAATGGTATATTTACAGTATTTTTGTGTGTGATTTTTTTATGGTTTACATTGTATATTTGTGTCAAAGGTGTATAAGACCCCATGTACACTGACTGCTGGAAAACATAACTAAATAACGTCCGTTTAGCTGCATTTATGAGATTTTTTTTTTGGTTTTTTTTTTAAGATAACCTCAGGAGACCTTCCAGAATGCCCTGAAAAAAACAGTAAAAAATTAACTATTTCAGACATTTTGAGAGAAATAGAGAGAGCAGAAGCAGAGAGCAGTATTTGTTGAGATTAGCTGTCTTTTTTTTTTTGTGGTGTTTGGATGTGTTCCAGCTCATTTCTGTGCAGAAATTATTGCAGCAGCATCTAACATATTTTCTTTCATGCTAAACCTCAAAGTATGGTGTACCGGGTCCATTTGAGTACCGGGAAAACACTTTGCATGCATTTTTCATGATGAAAAAAAAGGCTCTGGACAGCATCTGGAAATGGAAGAGTTAAAAAAAAAATTTCAACGGCAAACGCCTATAAACGAGGTTAGCTGCGTTTACAAGCGTTTTGCGTTTGAACCGCTGATATAATCTACTGCTGAACGCAAGTTTTCTGGGTTCAAAAAAAACATCTGTAAACTCAAATGCCTGTAAATGAAGATGTGTACACGGACACATAGGAAAACATTAGGGAGAGTTCAGGGGCTGCAGAAAAAAAAAAAAACCGCTTAACAGATCCTACACGTGAGTTTATCAGCAGCAGTGTACATGAGCCCTAAGACTCACTTTGTCAGACTTACGAACGAATCCGATTTACAAACATTCTCCCGGAACGGAACTTATTCGTAAGTCGGGGACTTACTGTATAGGACAGGAGGTGAAGAGAAACCTCCCCAATGGGGACACAGATGGCGACAACAAAAAAAATGCTCTAGCCATACATCTAGATAAAAGTATAACTAAAGGATTTTTATTAGCTTTGGATAGGGTTGAAAGGGGTTAGAGCCCCTGTTTGCTGTGTTCCCATGACAGCCAGAGAATCCCTTACTTTAACCACTAGCCTACAGAGCACTTCTACCCCCTTCCTGCCCAGGCCAATTTCCAGCTTTCAGCGCTGTCGCATTTTGAGTGACAATTGCGCGGTCATACAACACTGTACCCATATGAAATTTTTATCATTTTTTTGTGACAGATAGAGCTTTATTTTGGTGGTATTTAATCACCTCTGGGGTTTTTATTTTTTCTTAAACCAAAAACCACTGAAAATTTAGAAAAAAACATTTCTTAGTTTTTGTTATAACATTTTGTAAATAAGTGATTTTTCTCCTTCACTGATGTGCGCTAATGAGGCTGCAGTGATAGGCACTGATGGGGAGGCACTGGTAGGTGGCACTGATGGGCATTGACAGGCTTCACTGATGGGCACTGAAAGGCAGCACTGATGCGCACTGAAAGGCAGCACTGAAAGGCAGTTCAGATGGACACTGATATGTGGCACCGATGGGCACTGGCATGAAACACTGATGAGCACTGACACAAGGCACTGATGGACACTGACAGGTGGCACTGCTGGGGCTACACTGATCATCAGGGCACACGGATCATCAGTGCCCTGATGATCAGTGTGCATGTCCCCTCCACGGAAAGCCGATTACCGGCTCTCCTCTGTCAGCGTGACAGCTCGAGAGAAATGCTGATAACCGGCATTTCCGTGTTTACATGTGATCAGCTGTGATTGGACACAGCTGATCACATGACCGAGCCAACATCTTCGGCTCTTTCCGTGATCAGTGATCCTCTGTGTCTGAGGGACTCCCTGAGTCACGCATAAACGTTGAGAATGGGAGGACGTCGTATGACATCCTCCCAGAACGAGAGAACCAACTTGCGTCTGTCATATTACTATATGGCGGGAGGTGGTTAAAGGGCTTTCCTCTCACTTCCTGTTTTGGCTATGGGGCAGGAAGTGAAGGTCAAGTTTCCCCATTGTGTACACAGATGGCTTAAAAAAACCCGACGGGTTATAACCCTGGTTCATGTTTGCGTGTTGTAAGAACAATGCAAATCACACACATTCCTGCAAAGTGCAGCGACTTAAAGTTGGACTGCGATACTCCGGCGGCCATTTTTACACTGACATTTTTTGGGAACAGAGTCACTAATACAGTGATCAGTGCTAAAAAAAAAAAAAAATTATATATATATACTGATCACTGTACTAATGACTTTGGTTGGGAAGGGGTTAACATTAGGGTGGCAGCACCGCATAGCTACAACTGGGACGCACAATGTGGGAACACGCATGATATTTCCACAACATGCAATCTTAGTGTAAGGGCCTGTCAGGTTTTTTTGCCATCTGTGGCCCTATTGTGGAGATTTCCCTTCACTTCCTGTCCCATAGCCCAAACCGGAAGTGACAGGAAATGCCTCCAAAGTGAGGGGCTTCTTGGTTGTCATGGGAACACAGACAATAAAAACCTAGCAGGGGCTCTGACCCTTTTCAAACCCATCCACAGCCAATAATAAAAGTTCCTCCAGTAATAATCTATTTAGAAGAGCCGTGCAGACTCTGATCTCCCCTCCCCCCCTCTCCTCGGGCGCCGGGCTCTACCTGCTGCAGAATATTGTCCACCTCCTGCTGTAGGGCGGACTTCCTGGGTGACACCACAGCCGGCCTCTTCAGGCACACCGCCCCGTGTAGCATCCACGACGAGCCGGCCGCAGACGACGCCAACCCCCGCCCTCCTAACAACCGCGCCGCCACCGTCCGGCATGACAGCGCCCCCAGCAACAACCTCCGTACCGGCGCCGCCATCTTGGAACGCCAGACGTCAAGCCGCCTTGACTGCTCCGTACAGACGACCGAACCAATGTATATTCAGTGGGTGGGGGGGGGGGACAAAAATAAACCATGTACTGAAAACCGCACAGTAGACTTCAACACTTACCCTTCTCTATTATTACTTTCATAAAAAATAAGCTCATTATTTTTTTTTGTTACAATCAATAATTCATTCTGCCAACATTGTTTAACCCTCCCTTTTCGTTTTGGTGCGGTCTTAGCTGGGACAGCCCATTGATATAGCCTGGGGGGTGTATTTAATTTCAAAAAGTATTTTAACGAGCAAATCGTATTTGGCCATGCTTAATCATTTTGTATATAAAAAAATAAATATTAATAAAGGGTGCTTTGTGCGCTTAAAAGGATTTTTATGTCGCGTCATTACTGTGACATTGATGTTGGCTCTCCCCTCGCCGGGTGGTGAGATGGTTTGACCCTTGTGACCTTCCAGCGTGAGCTCCTGGTATCGGCAAACATGAATGGTGCGGTGAGGGGGGCAGCCTGGGGGCTGCTGGAGACATGTGGGTGAGTGGAGGCCGTGCCGCGGGGAATGGGGCAAAAAAAAAAAAAAAAAATTATATTTATATCTCCATATCATGTGATTCAGGTGTTCCAATCACCTCCATGGTCGCAGGTGTATACAATCAAGCCCCTAGGCGTGCAGACTGCTTCTACAAACATTTGTGAAAGAATGGGTCGCTCTCAGGAGCTCAGTGACTCCAAGTGTGGTCCCGTGATAGGTTGTCACCCATGCCTACCTCTGGAGAGAGTAAGGGAGGGTTATGACCCCTGTCAGGTATTTTCTTTTTGCCATCTGTGCCCCCCCCCATTGGGCAGATATCCCTTCACTTCCTGTTCCCTAGCCAAAACAGGAAGTGACAGGAAATCCCTCCTAAGTGGCTGTCACCAGACCTAGTGTCCCCATGGGAAGATTTCCCTCTCTTCCTGTTCTAGTGACAACCCAAAATGTTGGATTTTCCTCCACTTTCAGTGATTCAAAACAATAACTTATAAAGCCATTTAGAACTCTGCCCCAAATTACATCACCGATCTTGTCTCTAAATATCACCCAAACCGTACTCTCCGCTCCTTGCACGACCTCCTGCTCTCTAGCTCCCTCGTCTCCTCCCCCCATGCTCGTCTCCAGAGCTTCCCCCATCCTCTGGAACTCTCTACCCCAATTTATCAGACTATCGCCTACTCTGCTCACTTTTAGGCGATCTCTGAAAACCTATCTCTTCAGGGAAGCCTATCGCGCCCTCAGCTAATAATGGAATCTACTATTCTTCCAACCAGTCCTTCCCCCACAGTTACTACCTTTTGTACTACCAGCCCCTCCCTCCTAGATTGTAAGCTCCAAGGATCATGCCCTCCTATCCCTCTTGTATTGAACTGTATTGTTGCTGTATTGTCTCCCGTTATATTGTAAAGTGCTGAGCAAAGTGTTGGCGCTATATAAATCCTGAATAATAATAATATATAAATCCTGTATAATAATAATAATACAGTTGCAAGAAAAAGTATGTGAACCCCTTGGGATCACGCAGAGTTTTGCATGAATTGGGCATAAAATGTGCTCTGAACATCATCTAAGTCACAACATCAGAAGAACACAGTCTGCTGAACATAATACTACACAAACATTAGATGTTGCCATGGTTTAATTGCACATAACATGTAAACAATCACAGTGCAGGGAGGAAAAAGTATGTGAGGCCCTAGCTTAATGACTTCTCCCAGAGCTTATTGGAGCCAGGAGTGAGCCAACCTTGACTCCAATCAGTGTGATGATATTGGATGTGTTGCTGACAGCTGTCCTGTCCTTAAAAAACACACACCTGTTTTGGGTTCACTGGTTTCAAGAAGCACTGTCTGATGTGAACCATGCCTCGCAGAAAAGAGCTCTCAGAAGACATACGATCAAGAATTGCTGACTTGCATGAAGCTGGAAAGGGTTACAAAAGTATCTCCAAAAGCCTTGATGTTCATGTGTCCACGGTAAGACAGACTGTCTACAAATGGAGAAAGTTTAGCACTGTTGCTACTCTCCCTAGGCGCGGTCGTCCTGTAAAAATGACTGCAAGAGCACAGCGCAGAATGCTGCATGAGGTAAAGAAGAATCCCAGAGTGTCAGCTAAAGACCTACAGAAATCTCTGGCACATGCTAACATTTGTGTTGACACATCTACAATAAGGAAAACATTAAACAAGAATGGAGTACATGGGAGGACACCACGGAGGAAGCCATTGCTGTCCAAAAAGAATATTGCAGCAGGTTTGAAGTTTGCAAAAGAGCACCTGGATGTTCCACAGCACTACTGGCAAAATATACTGTGGACAGATGAAACCAAGATTGAGTTGTTTGGGAAGAACACACAACACTATGTGTGGAGAAAAAAAGGCACAGAACACCAACATCAAAGCCTCATCCCCACTGTAAAACATGGCGGAGGAGCATCATGGTTTGGGGCTGCTTTGCTGCCTCAGGGCCTGGACGGATTGTTGTCATTGATGGGAAAATGAATTCCAGCGTTTATCAAGACATTTTGCAGGAAAACGTACGACCATCTGTCCGCCAACTGAAGCTCCGCAGAGGATGGGTGATGCAACAGGACAATGACCCAAAGCATACAAGTAATTCAACAAAACAATGGCTGCAACAGCACAGAATACGCCTTCTGGAGTGGCCCAGTCAGAGTCCTGACCTGAACCCGATTGAAATGCTGTGGCATGACCTTAAGAGAGCGATTCACACCAGACATCCCAAGAATATTGCTACACTGAAACAGTTTTGTGAAGAGGAGTGGTCCAAAATGACTCCAGATCGTTGTGCAGGTCTGATCTGCAACTACAGGAAACGTTTGGTTGAGGTTATTGCTGCCAAAGGAGGGTCAACCAGTTATTAAGTCCAAAGGTTCACATACTTTTTCCTCCCTGCACTGTGAATGTAATCCCAAGGGGTTCACATACTTTTTCTTGCAACTGTATCTAAATCCTGTATAATAATAATATATAAATCCTGTATAATAATAATGCTAACAGAACAAACCGGATGAATCTCCCTAACGAGGCAGCAATAACAATGTGACGGGGGTTCTAATCCCTCTCCACTTTATCCAATGTTTAGTGCACACACACGCATTTTTGTGCATTTCATGAAGCCCAGAAATGCACACAAGAAGCACATGACACTGTTTTAAAAAAGAAAAATTGCGCAGGCCTAAATGTATGCTGCTGTGTTGTGTGCTTTGGCCATATGGGTTAATGACACCCCCCCCCACCTATTTTATTAACAAAGTCCAGCCCAGGGCAGTTTTGCAATATTTGCTAGAAAATCACCTAGACCCCCCCCCTTTTTTTCTCAAAGTAGTGGCCCTAGAGAATAAAATGGTGAATGTTACCATTTTTTTTATGTCGCATGATATCTGAGCGGCAGTTTATCAAACACAAATTTTCGAGGGAAAAAAAATGCACTTTCATGAATGTAATGCACAGAAGCACAATACAACAGGGCTTGACAAATTTGGTTTGAATCTAGGAGCCAGTTTTTAGGGGGGTGTTTTTAGCATTGCGTGGATTGTCAACTCCCGGAACTTTACATGATGCAATCTGCCACGTAACAATCTCGGCAAAAACCACATTACATTTTTAGGCGCTATTGAAAATAATGGCACATGAACCTGCGTCCTGCAATCACAGCGATTCTGCTGCAATCCCAAAACGCCCAGGTGTGAATGGAGCCGCCCTGGTTCACATATATGCGACTCCGGATTTGTTTTGAAACTCAGATTTGTATGACAGACAAGATATTTTGTGTTCCTATTGAGGTGGTTCCCAGCGATGCGATCCACACTCATGTTTGAGTGCCGTTATGAAGAGGGTCCTGCGTGAATTTGAAGCAGTGCGTTCCAGACTCGCAAGTGATAGAGTGGAATGCAGAGATGAGTGTTCACATACAATTGCTATTGACAGGAGTTTTGCATTGAAGTCAATGGGAGGCGTTTTCCCATTGAAGTCAATGGGAGGCGTTTTCCCATTGAAGTCAATGGGAGGCGTTTTCCCATTGAAGTCAATGGGAGGCGTTTTCCCATTGACGTCAATGGGAGGCGTTTTCCCATTGACGTCAAGGGGAGGCGTTTTCCCATTGACGTCAATGGGAGGCGTTTTCCCATTGACGTCAAGGGGAGGCGTTTTCCCATTGACGTCAAGGGGAGGCGTTTTCGCATTGACGTCAAGGGGAGGCGTTTTCGCATTGACGTCAAGGGGAGGCGTTTTCGCATTGACGTCAAGGGGAGGCGTTTTCGCATTGACGTCAAGGGGAGGCGTTTTCGCATTGACGTCAAGGGGAGGCGTTTTCCCATTGACGTCAAGGGGAGGCGTTTTCCATTGACGTCAAGGGGAGGCGTTTTCCCATTGACGTCAATGGGAGGCGTTTTCGCATTGACGTCAAGGGGAGGCGTTTTCGCATTGACGTCAAGGGGAGGCGTTTTCGCATTGACGTCAAGGGGAGGCGTTTTCGCATTGACGTCAAGGGGAGGCGTTTTCGCATTGACGTCAAGGGGAGGCGTTTTCCCATTGACGTCAAGGGGAGGCGTTTTCCCATTGACGTCAAGGGGAGGCGTTTTCCCATTGACGTCAGTGGGAGGCGTTTTCCCATTGACGTCAATGGGGCAGATTTGTCAAGCCCTGCAGTAGAATACCCAATTTGTGAACTATAAAAGGCGATGTTACGCCAAGTAAATAGATACCAAAGCATGTCACACTTTAACCACTTCACGCCAGGCGACGTACCTGTATGTTGTCTAGGTTTCTGTGGTTATTCCGGGGTGATGTGTGCAGCTACATGCATCATCCTGGTATGGTGTTTGTTCAGCCGGGCGGTAGGCTTTCTTGTAAAAGCAATCCTAGCGGCTAATTACCTGCTGCATTTTTTTCACATTATTTTATGTGTGTGTGTGTGTGGGGGGGGGGGGGTGTTTACGGAT